ATGCCAGCCGCCGATCTGGCCATCTTCGCAGCTGCCATCATCTCTTGGGATCGTCATGAAGAGTGGAAGAGGGGTGATCGTAAGAGAGAAGAGCGCAGCCCTACGCCTCACGATCCGCTGGAGGTGACAAAGACCAAGCGCGGCGCGAAGAAAGCGGCCAAGTGACGGAGGAGCTGGTTAAGCGCGTCTCGTTTCCGCGATGAAGCCCGATGATCTTAGGGCATAAATCGACGTTTGGTTGCCTGGATCGTTGTGTCGAATGTTTCTTCTCTTTCCTGGTCCTGACCCTTTCCTTTTTCCTCAGCTAGATAGTGCAACAATTGGAATTCGGGTCCTTCTGCATTTCACCATGTTTGTCCCCTAGTCTATCTCGCAATCGCAAATTCATCCACTGTAAGACAAACCCCTAAACTTAGCCGTTCCCTTGCTCCTACCTTAATGCACCACAGAATCAACTCCTATATCTGAGACAGGAAATATCGGAGCGTCTGTGTTATGTGTTGGCTGTTTCCGCAAGAGTCGTTTGACTTGATCACGTACTCTGATATTTCTACCAGTCATATACTGGTCTTGACATGCATTCCATATCTCAAACGACGATTCAGTTTCTGCTTCTAACTGCGGGCCGTATACGTCGTTGCTATCTACGTAGAGCTTGTGCATGCAGCCGATGCGGGGACAAAGAGAATACACTAGCTTTCGCAAAAGACATAAAACCACTTGTACTTGAGAATTGACCATGGAATGGGTCTTGGCATTTGTGTATGTAACCTGACTCCCGTCGTCTAGGTCGGAGCAACGATCTACAATTTGTCCGAAAACATCTGGCCCATAAACGAATGTCGTTGACTGAGCTATGTTCTCTCCTATGCTTTCCCTTCCGCCCTACGCAGTATCGTCCTCTTTCACAGTATCCTCTCCTCCCTTGAACGTCCATGTCCTGAGGTGGTCAGGGCAGGTACCGTCCGGAAGCTCTGCGATGAGCATGTCAACGGATTCTCTGGTTTGAATTCCCGAGGTGCCATGCGAGGACGAGAAAACGAACTGGAGGTCGTCCACGGGCTTCGAAACGTCTTGTGTGGACAGAAAGCTCGACTCCTGGACTGCACTGTTTTCCGAGACGAAAAGGTTCGACGGAACACTCATTCGTCCCTCTTTGGTGCCGGGATGGAAGAGGCTATAG